TGTTCCCCTATTGTGGCCCAACCATGCCCACCGGTGCCTTCATTTGACCAAATTTGATATGCACCACTTGAAGCAGCTTTCATATTAATTTGAATACCGGTAATCACCCCTGTCTTGTATTTTTAAGGTGATTTTCCTAGACATTCCCCTGTAAAACTTTGATCCCTAAATGTGGACCATCCTATCCCCGGGGGCTATGATTTAAGAAAAACTTGAATTTGATCTACCTGAGGATGCTTGGATGTTCATAGGACTAATCATGGCCCAGCTATTCCTGATTAGAGTTTACCCCCTAGACATTCACAGATAAAACTTTGATCCCCTTTTGAATCTACTCTCTTATTTAAGGTTCGTCTTTTTGGCTTTGTGGTTTTTGAAAAGAAACCCTTTAAAACGATGGATTCCACCGACTTTTCAATATTTTTAATTATCTCCCCATAAAAGGGAAGTGACCCTTCAATTGAAACCATCTGAATTCCATTCACCAAGGGGTACTTTACAGCAAGTTTGGTTGTAATTTGCGCAGTGGTTCCGGAAAAGTTGATGATATGAAAAGTTTACAGTCGACAGACCGAAAGACACTCTTCCAACAGAAATATCAGGTTAACCTTTGGCTTAGGGGCTAAAAAGTCTTAGCGTCTATAGATTTTGTGATTCCAGTATCACCCCAACAGCATCCTTAGTTTCATGCAGGGAGGTCGTGCATGCTCAATGATCCAGTGATAGCTCGCACGTACTTTCGCATGGATTATATTGATGATGCAATTTCTTCGTTACGGGAAAGCTGCTGTTTACGTTTCTATAAAAATGTAAGACATTTTAAAGACGGACAGTGACAAATAAAATGTCAAGAAAATACTACAAATTGAAAAGAATGTAGAGAAATTAATTCCAATGTTGGAGTCCAGAAATGTAAAGGTGGTAATGGTAAAAGCAAAATTGACATTATAACGTGCTAATCATCGAGTAGTATTACCAGCTCGTTTCCTTCATATTATACTATTGTTCAATCATCGAGCAATCTTAATTTTGCAGCCTAGCATTCACTGACTGGCAGTAATGCTAGCCAATTTTAGTATACAGTCTGTATACTTTAAAAAATTAAGATGTTGCCTTTTTTTTTTTTTTTTTTTTTTGATTTGATTTGAGAATCAATTTTGAAAAAATAAGTGTGGCTTAATTGATAACAATATAGCTTGGTAACAATTCACAAAATCTCATGCAACAAAACGTGCAGTCTATTTATTAATTTAATAAATGCAATCTCTCATTGAATATAAAAAGTTTGCAGTGACCACAGTTTAAAGTGACATTAACAATTAAGGGTATTTTCAAAAAATATGATTTAATAAAAACCTTACTTTCCTAAAATAAAATCTTAATGTTATGACTTCTATATCCATCTATATCAAGATTTTACGGAAGCCCGTTGAGGCCAGTTCAGAAAAAAAAATATTTTTTATTGCGTTTAATCGCAATATTCATTGCGTTTAAACATAAAAGATTACGTTTAATCGCAATGTATATTGCGTTTAAACGCAAAACACTTTGCGTTTAATTGCAAAAACAATAATTTTGCGATTAAACGCAATGATTGTTGTGTTCTTTGTACAATCTCGTTTAAAGTCAACATTTGGCAAATTCTTTGGTCGAAACAATGTACAAACCAATATTATTTTGGTTGAATATTGACTAAAGATTGTTAGGTAATATCCGTTTACCCGATCATGACAAATTTTTTAAGGGCACACGGCGGTTGTGACCATTGTTAAGGTTGCTTACTCCTCCTTGGCACCTGATGTTTGTTTACTCTGCTCACACTTTGTATTGTTTCATTGGACTTATTTTACCATGCTTACTGTTCGTTATCTTCACATTTCATGGACAAGCCATTTCATCTGTAATAGAGTTTACTTGTTACTTGGCCATAATTGTCTATCTAAATATGAAACAGATATCATAATGGCAGACTCTTTTTTTTTTTTTTTTTTTTTTTTAGTTCTTATGTATATCGAGTTGACATACAAATGAAAGAAAATGTCGATATGTTGAAGGCCAAAGCAAGTTTTCTTCTCTTACGTAGAAGTTTCGAAATAAATTCTGCTTCATGGGAATATAAAACCAAGAGGCCCAAAGGCGTTACCGATCACCTGAGTATACTACAATTTAGAGGATCCATAGAATATAAAATAAACTGAAAAATGAAATTTTGTTTCTCAAGAGGCAATAAATAGGATGATCATGATCAACGAAATACATGTAATTAGTCTAGTGTTCAGTAACAATTAACTCATAAATTAAGTTCTAATGAATCTAATCTGTCCCCCACTTATCAAATCACCATGCAGACTATAACAAACTATTAGTGCTTCTGTACTATTTTAAACCCATATTATAACCTCTCACATTGGCGTAACTTGGTCTTTAAAGAACATTCAATAAGATTAGTTTGTTTGTTTGTTTGTTTGTTTTTTTTTTTTTTTTGGTCTCATTTTTATTTATCTATTATTTACAAGTCCACCTGATCATTAAAACTATGACAGTTATGGTGGCATATTTCTGTCCCCTTCATGCAAGATAAATTGTTAACATGCGAGAAAAGTATGTCAACATGCAAGATAATTGTGTCTACATGCATAATAATTATGTTCAACATGCAAGTTATCAATCTTTTTAGAGAATCCATAACCAACATTAAAATTAGACTCTCTAAAAAGATTGGTAACTTGCATCGAACACAGGGCAAACTGCTGTAGTTGACATCAATTTTCAACAGGGTCAATTTTTAAACATGTTGTAAAGTGCCGAGAAAGAAAAAATAACAGACAGTTAAAAATTTACCCCGGGTATAATAAAGAGTGCAAGAAAAATGCCTATGGTGCAAAAAACATGAATGTGAAAAATTAAATCTCAATTATAACAAATTTCCTTTGATATTTCATCTAACATTAAAGTATACTTCATGTAAAATCTCCACAATTTGCAAAAATCTCACAAAGATTGAAATTATTTGCCAATGAAATAGCATACACACACTAAAGAGAGCAAAAAAGACCATTTTCTCACACTATTACAAAACAATTTTTCGATATGAGTGGGTCTTCGCACCATTTTTTTTTGAAAGATTATCATCAAAGTTTGTGTAAAATTATAAATTTTTTTGCTTAACATAAAAATAAACTTTTATGACACAACAATGGCATCTTTCCGAGAAATACTTCAGTCCATTTAATCAAGGGCCATATCACAAACATGATTTAAAAGCCAGAAATCATCAGGAGTTGTGTAGCGTAGAGGTTAGCGTGTTAGTCTCAAAGGAAAAGGATACTCAGGATTTTATTCTGCTAGGGTTCGAACCTCACCCATACCACATTATTTTTTAATAACAATAAATTTTCTAAAAAATTTTCCTCAGAAAAGTTTTATCATTAATTTCATAAATTTCAATAATGAGAACTCTACTCTAAATACTAAATTCACAAAGTGAATATGATTTTTATGTATCTGAAGCTACAGGCATTCTGCACACCTTGTTCACCCATCTCCTTTCAGAACCTTTGGTCTCAATTTTTAATGTTGAAAAACCACTCCCTGATCAACATCAACATTAAAATATGAAACCGACTGTGCGAAAATTCTTCCGTACACCAGGTACTCAAAATATGGGTATTTGAATAGTCTTTTTTTTTTTAATAATTATCAAAATGAGTTAATTAAGAATTATTTGAATTATGGTCTTATTTTAAAGTGTGCAAATTTTGAAATTTCTACCTTGCAGTATATCCATTATATCATGTCAGTCCACAAACTTTTTAATCACCCCTCATAGGCCAGATTCAGCATCAAAAGCAAGTCTAATAAGTCTAAATACCTTAATGTATCATGCTTGCAAGTTTAGTCAAGGTACAGGTTATACCGTAGTTATTTGGAAATGAACCTGCTCAAAAACCTTAAACCTGTATCACTCATCCAGAAAATGTAGGTCAGACTCAGCATCCTAAGCAAGTCTGGTAGCTTAATTTCATCCTTACATGAATCATCCATGCAAGTTTGGTCCAGGTATGACTTAAAGTTACTTGGGAATGGGCCTGCTCCAAAAATATAAACTACTCATCAGGAAAATGTAGATCTGATACAGCATCCAAAGCATTCTGGTAGTAAGCATCCCTAGATGCAGAATACATTCAAGTTTGGGCTTTTAATCATTTTAGCATGAACCTGCTCCAAAAACCTTAACCTATTCACTCATCCAAATAATGTAGGACATGACAAACACTAGGCCAGGCAATATTCAAGATGGGGCAAAATGAACTGCAGGAACTGTTTGAAATAAGAAACAGATAGAATTAGGTATCTAAATGATGTCTGTATGTGTACAAATATCTTTTCAAATTGGAAAAAAAATAAGACACACAGTTTTTAAAATGATTTTTATGATCATGACTGAATGCATGACTACTATCATTTTTCAATACAAAATACTCTTGACATTATTTCCAGTAACACAAGTAGCATATGTAAATTATCTATACCATGCCCAGAATTCATGCCACATAATGTCAATTTGTTTTTTTAAATACATGTACTTTTTTGCAAATGTAAACTGAAGATCAAACTTAACACATGGGGCCAAAAAAGTGGGGAATCCAAAAAGGCTGATGGATCCATGATGCCAAAAATTGTATGGATGACAAAAACAAAAAAATTATGTAGATTTTACTCAAATCAGACAAAAATATTGCAGTACAGTTGTATTTGATGGACCCATGATGCTAAGAATTTCATCTACTTCAAATTTGCCCAACCTTCACCAAGGAACAGATACTCCCTGAAATTACCTTTACTCAAAATAGTAGAAACAAATTTAACAAGAGGCCCATGGGCCACATCACTCACCTGAGCACATAGGCTAGGAAAAAGCACAATTCAGTTAACCTTGGGGGGGGGGGGGGGGGGGGCAAACTAGAATTTTACACTACCTATCCATGTCAATATAACTAATGCTTCCATATCAATATGACTAAGCATGGCTTTGCTATTCTTAAACAAAAGATTTTCAAAGATTTTTTCCTATATAATCCTATGTAAAACTTTGATGCCCAATTGTGGCCCCACCCTACCCCCGGGGGTCATCATTTGAACAAACTTGAATCTACACTATGTAAAGAAGCAGTCTCAATAGTTTCAACTTTTTTGGCACAATGGTTCTTGAGAAGATTTTAAAGGATACCACCAAAGTTTCACAATTTCTAAATTATCTCCCCTTGAAAGAGGGCATTGCCCTTCATTCGAACAAATGTGAATCCCCTTCACCCAAGAATGCTTTATGGCAAGTTTGGTTGAAATTGGCCCTTTGGTTCAGGAGAAGCATAGAAAAATGTGAAAAGTTTACAGAGAGCCAGACAGCTATACAGACACATGGACTGCAAACAAAATGTGGTCAGAAAAGCTTACTTGAGCTTTCAGCTCAGGTAAGCTAAAAATTATTGTGTAACAGTTCCAGAAATATGTATCCTGAGAAAATCTAGTTGTATGAAGTTTTATTAAATAAAAAGAAACGTAAGTAAATTTCATATCAGTGTAATTTTTGTGCCTGTAGTCGAGATGACATTTCATCAAATAACTGTCTTAAGCAGGCAGGGTTGGTGAAGAAGTAAATGAACAGTTTTCTCTCCTTGTATAACAGAGGATCACTCTTCAAAATCTGAAACAAAAAAAATCTCTTAGGCCATCTGTAAAAAATTGTTTGGCTGCCCTCTCCTGACTGACTGGCTAAAAATGGCCTGACTCAAAAATTTTTTTAACCTCCAGGAACCAATTATTCTTTTTACGCATTCCGGAAAATAGATTTTGAAAATTCAGCATTGATTTTGAAATATTCTTTGAAAAAAAAATTTCTCACCTACCTACCGACTCAATTTTCTCATCCTGAGTCAGGACAGGGCAACCAAACATTATTTTAAAGTTGGCCTTATATTATATCTTAAATATTATTTCATCTCAGTGACTTCATATCAGTGACTTACATCAAAAATGTATCAATATGCTTGTCGTTACATTTAAAATATGTTCAAATTGAAGTCATTTTTGAAGGAGAAATTGTCTTAATCTCTACACTTAGTGATGGAAAATTAAATTAAAAGGAATGAATTTAATAGTTACCCAAGTTATACTGGTATAACCTAGGTTGGAACCATTTACACTTTTTTAGAAACCACTTTCAGGTTTATAATCGTAAACTGCCCCAACCCAGGTTAAACAGTATAGCGTGGGTAGCTATTAAATTCATTCCTTAAATGTAAGTAACTGAAGATTATTTACTTGTCCGTTTTTATAATTCATTACAAAACATTTTTTTTTTGCTTACCAAATTATAATTTTATTTGTTTTTAAATTTATTTAAATCAACACAAAAAAGTATGCTCCAATGCTTCTACTTTTGGGTCCTGGTCTTCATTTAAACAACTAACTTAATTCTACACAGCATAATGGTATATGCATATATTTGATAAGCCTTGAAAATACTTGTATTTTTAAAAAAAAATTCCAATATATTTCCAAGTAAAACATTGGCCCCATCCCTTAACTGGGGACCATAATTTGAATAATCTTAATAACTATGTTTTCAATTAATTTTCACTTCTATAAACCAATAAAATATCCTAGATTTGCTGTCTTGCACTTATGTTGTTATAATCTTATAGAACTTTATGTGATGTTGGCTCCTACATGTAGGAAATAAGCCTTATACTTTGTAATGCATTTTTATCATTTAATACATGAAAATTCCAAGAGGAAGAGTAATTTAAGGGGAAAAAAAAGATTTTTTTCAATAAATTTTAAGCCTTCATGTGTTCCTTTATGTTCAGTTATCAGATAAGTGATTAATAGCAGTATATTCTAGCTCCTTAATTGCCTGAATACTTCAAAAGAATCATATTATGAGTGTTTTCATTAACCTGTTTCTTCTGTTCCAAATTTCGGACTGTGTCTTTGATGGCAGATTCCAGCCTTCCCAGCATTCCCTCTAGTTGAGTCATGGTTGACTGGAGCTGAGGTGGAGTCAGAGATGGCTGACCATGTGTTGTACTGGACCTTGAGTATATCATTTCCTCACAGGATTGCATGTTTTGTTCCCTTTAAAAGAAATAAAAAATGTTATATAGTTATAAATGTGACAACTTCTCTATCAGATGTCAGTAGATATGTACTGCTTAAAAAAATCTTAATTCTTTTTATCTAATGATTTTCACAGCAAGACAATTCTAAATGTTCACAGAATGAAAATTTCCACAGTCTTTAAAAATAATTCTGTATGATCATCTGAGTTAGAAATATCTGTTTTTATATGTAGGTTTAAATAGTATTCTTCTTTTTAAGACTTTGGGTTAGTGGCCATTTTTGTCTTGTTTGGAAAGAAAAATCTGATGTAGTCTGTATTCCATCTGCATCAACATTTTTACTAATTCCTGCATTTAGCTCTATTGAAGGTGGATCATTCAGGCTATAATCTCCAACTTAACTGATATCAGGTAGGTAAATAATGAGATGTTTTAAATACACTATAAAATTTAACCTTGACATTTGACCATTTCAATGGTAGATGAAACAAGATGCCCATGGCCACAATGCTAACCTGTGTCACCTTAGCCCAGCAAAATTAAGATTTTTCCCCACTTTAATCGGGACACCGACCCCGGGGGTATATAATAAGCTCATCTAAACTTTGTTGCGGTGAGCTAAAATGAAAATTTTGGAAGACCTGAAAGAAATGCAGATGGAGAAAGAAAAGGAAAAAGTTTACCTTGTCCTTTCACCTTTTGGCCTTATAAAGATGTATTGACCAAAAGTAAAAAATTTCATTGCAAATCCTCAAAGAGAACAAAAGATATAACCAGGAAACCACTGTATGCAAAGTATGACTTTCAGATCTTGCCTTTTGACCTCTAAAACAATAGGATGTCTTCTGTCAGTCACTGAGAATTATGATAAACAATTTTATTCCAATAGCTTAAAGAAATCTAGTTATCAGCAGCTGGGAAACCACTTTTACAATGCATGAATTTCCAACCTTGACCTTTGGACCTCAAAAGAGATCTTCTTTAGGCAACAGGGAATTGATATAAAATTTCATTGCAAAAGCTTAAAGGCTTTTTTGAGATATTGTCCAGAAATGAAAGTGTTACACACATACAGTATATATTGACAGATAGATGAACAGACGTCCAGACAGCTTGATGGACAGACAGACAGACCCAAATTAATATCTCCCACTTTCAGTGAAAGCAGGGAACAAAAGCAGATAGCATAGGTCACTCGACTGAAACATGTGACTTATATGAGGTGGAATCATGATAAACAACATGTTTATACGCTTTTCATGATCCAATATCAAACTGAATAACATATTTTAAAATGTCAGTTAATATGTAATAAAAAGGAGGAATCAATCCATACCAAGTCTGAAGGGAAATTAATAAATCAAAGAGGGTTTTAAGAACATATGATACAAACTTTCTTTTCAAAAAGTATGATTTTCCCCAAAATAAAATAATGAACATATAACTTTTTAAAATTAAATCATGGAGTCCAAGAACAATCACTACTTGGCTTAAAACTTCGCTTCTCAAGATAGAGAAAAAAAGAGATAGAGATGAGTGGAAATCACCTTACAAATTTTAATTTACATTTATAAAACCATATTACTTACCATCTAAATTAATTTATAGAAGGAAACTGTTATAATTATTTTCTTTTAAAGTCATTTCTTACATAGTTCTCGTCAGCCCAAGATCATATCTTTGATGTATAAATATCAGTGATGCAGACATCTGCTAGTTGGCATTGATGCTTTATAATGGGTACAGTGAATTCAGTAATTAAAATATGATCATTTTATCTAAAACACCTGTACAGATAAAAACGGTTATTATTAAGGTGAAATGTCCCTCTCATAAGAGAGATAACTTTTCAGGGAAATTCTTCCAAGCTGTCCTATGAAATCTCTTATCAGAGTTCTCCATGATTTGAATAAATTAATCGATAAACAAAAGATGGGCAACAGATAAAATTTAATCAAAATTGCTCATATTATCAAAGAAAAAAAATGTTATAGGAGATCAATATTCTTGGCCTCCTTTAACAAGTTGTGATCCTTAACAACTAATGCGACCTCTTTACTTACAAAACATCCAGTAATTCTTCCTTGCTGCCCCTGACTGTCTCTGCATGGTTACAGCTTACTGAATAGGAATGTTTCAGCTTTTCTGCCCCATTTTCTAAACTTGCATAGGTAAGAAAGATATGCTCTGTATTTTCTACTTCTGAAATGTTAATAAAATGCATTTAATTAATAACATGCATAATTGGTATTCATAAGGCTTTAGACTAAAATTTGAACTTTCCTCTTGAAACTTTAGATTCAAAGTCTATCTTGCATGTGAATTCACAATGGCCTTTTATGGTCAATTCAAAATAAAAGGCCGTCCTGCTTTTTTTGAGATTTTAATTCTACAACCTGTATGCTTTTCTGCAACTACTTCACACAGCTTTTCTGTGATTGGATTTACTACATGTTATGTGTTATCTCCATTTTTTATACCTCCTTTCCACGATTTTTAAGCCGTTACCGCTGAAGCATCAAATGGTTGCCAATATTTACATATATTTTCCCAAGAATTACTGTAAATCACTTTTCATTCCAGAGGACTCTATTTTTGTGTAATTATGCGAGATTGCCTGATAGCGAAAATGTAGTTTTCGCTCTTGTTACTAGTATTGAAGTTTATACAGAACAATAACTAGAGTTCGTAAAATTATGTCTTGCTTATAAATACCAAATGACAATATCGCGAAAATTTACTATGTACAGTATACTTGATTGTATTTACTCACAGTGTGATAAAAGTTGAATGATTTTCGCATTTTACACTGGTCGGTGATAGGTTCTAGATGTTATGGAAATAGTTCATACAGAAACAAATCGTGTAGGCAAATTAATGTATTATATATTGAGCTCGGATCAAAATGTGAAAGCATTCATATTTGTTCTGTGGATCTATTAATATCTAGACAAGTGCTTGTTTTTAATCTTTGTTTTATTGAGTGTTGTTTTAAATCAGTGTTTTTATCCAGTGTTTTACAAGACTTATCCTGCTTAAATTTCTACTTCCACCTCCCCATGGTAGGCAGTGGGCAACAGGTTTTACCTGGCTGGTGGAAGAGGTACACGTTAAAATATGTTGCAGAAAAGCAAAACATATTATCTCGGAAAAGCAGTTTTACTTGTCAAAGAAAAGCAGGATTTTTTTCACAGAAAAGCAGTAATGAATCGAGGAAAAGTGGATCGATGAAATAAAAGTCTGCAATTTTAATTAAAACTTTATAAAGGCTTGATGTCTTTTTACAAATATTAGCCTTCTTATTCTTCCTGTATCCACATTTCTGGGAAAATTGTTCACAATTGTTACCCCAACCTAGTCCCTAAGCTAGGCTTTCAACAAACTTAAGTCTACACAGCATGGGTATTTCTGAATATTAATATAACCCTGCTCTCCTGAGAAGAATTTTCAAACCTTCTGTATTTCTTCATTATCCTTCCTTCCCCCTCCCCCCTGACCAAGGACATGGCCCTCCATATGAACAAAATTGAATTAACCATAAACCAAGGACACTTTGTGCCAAGTTTCAATAAAATTGGCCTAGCATACTGGACACAAATCAAAAATGTGAAAGGTCTATAGATGACAAACAACACGACAGACAAAAGATGGAACAACAGATGATGTTGAACACTTATAGACCAGAAAATCTCACTTGATCCTTTGGCTCACATGAGTTAAGAACCATTTAATAAATATTCTCTCCTTTGATCTTGCCTTCATGTAAGCTTTATGACTCACCATCATCTCATAAGCTTTCATATGTAAAAATAAAGCTGAAGTGTTTTTCCATAAAGAAATTTGTGACCTTTATTCATTTTTTTTGTGCATGTCTGTTGTATGTATGGCCTTCAATTTGCTCAATTTAAGCACTCTTTACCTTTGAATGTTTTTCTCTTACAAAGATATGGATCTTAGAAGAATGGTGTATTTCTGTGACCTTGTCCAAACTGAAACATAGCTAAACATGATTGAAACACAAGTTATTATGATTGCCAGTTTCATAAAAAAAACTCTCTTGTATTGGAGACAAGCCTACAGATTAGGGACAATGACGTGACAATTGACACATAGTAGTTCAAGAACTTGGAACACTGGATTTTGTTTGTTAAAGGAAACATGAATAACAGGAATATTTGTGAAAAACAATGCATTATAATCACTCTTTAAAAAATAGATATTATACATGAGTTAAAGAGTTTTTATGTGTTTACTTTCACAAATTGTACCCAAAATTCTTTTGAGATTTGAACTATATCAAACCTCCATGAAATTCAAAAAGATGGCAGTCATAATATTACTCCAGTAATGATAGTTACAGTAAAACTCACTGGGTCAAAACCACCCTTTCTAAAGTAGAAGTGCCAATTTCTTTACTTATTCAAATGACCTTGAATGATGAACATGAGACAATAAGGTCATCCAAAGCCTCAACATTAAATCTATCTTGTTGGACAGTGTTAGGGAATTCTAATATAAACATGTCACTATAACTATCTAGACAGACTGGGTACTTACCAAGTATCTACCCAAATTTCACCTGTATGGGTACAGAATGTTATCAAATCTGAAAAACTGACAAACTGACCAAGCACATGTGCCCCTTGTTCTTAATCTCCAAGTCAATGCAAGCAATGAAACATCAAAACGTTATTTATTTATCATTAATTTAAAATTCTGAACATTTACCCAAGACTTGATGTAATCTTTTGGCAAAAGTGTCCCTGGAGTCTATTGTGCTTCTTTTATATTTGGCTGTTGTCAACAAAGGATCCTCCATCATTTTCTATATGAAATAAAACAAATTATTTTAACCAATCTCTAGACATAATTCAGTCACTGAGTAAATGTTAAACCTTGATATCCACAACTCAGTAAGTCTGACTAAACAAGAGGCCCACAACACTTACCAGAGTCACTTTAGTCCTACTGTTCTTCAGGTTTTTAAGACTTATTTTCCTTGAAAATTGTGACACCATATTATGGCACCACCCTAACTCAAAGGGGTTTCTGAATTAACACATTATGTGGATGCTTCAATATCAATATGACTAAAATTCCTTGTAGTTATGGAGAAGAAAATTCTTTTCCTGTATACATATACATGTAAAATTTATCCTGATTTTAGCCAACTCAAACCCAGGGTCCATAATTTGAAAAAAAAAAATTAAATTCAAACAACATGGGAATATTTGCAAACAAGAAGTCCGTGAGCCAATGCTCACTAATGATACCCCCGCTCTGATGTGAATACACAAGTTCAGTTATGGACAGACACAGTGATAATCTGGAAGTTGACATCGGATTTGTAAAAAAATGAATCCCAACAAATGGCATGCCTAAACAAAGAGTGCGCTAAAATTTCAAGCATCTGTGTGAGTAGTTGCTGAGAAAACTGTGACCAAAATTTGTCATGTATGGTACAGATGGTTGTATGGATAAACAGGAAGTTGACATTGGATTCATACAGAAATGAATCCAACCATATTTCATGCCTAAACAAAGAGTTGAACAGTTTAGAATCTAAACTTCCTCAGGAAGTTTATCAGCTCAGGTGAGCAAAAAAAACTGATGAAAAAATGATAAGTCTTCAGGGCCTCACAGAGTTTTAATACTAATGGTATCGGTAATATTGACCTTTGAACAAGTGGCTCAAAATCTAGATGATTCTTTCTATAGTGAATAAAATCAAGGCAGCATCTTAAAATATACTCTTGTTTTTTGTGCTGCGTAAGAAAGTGTTCATGAGAAAAAAAACAATTTTGACCTGAATCTATGATTTATTGACACCGAAATCTACAGGTTCTACTGCTAACATTTTTTTATCTATGTAATCAAATTAGAATTTAATGATTAAAAATATTTGAGTTGTTATCAATAGTTTTGACCCTTTGACTATGACCTAGCTTTACTCTCAAGAGACACCGATATCAAATGGTGAAATGGTAACATAAAATGATTTTCAAATGCAAAGGATAAATTCAAAATATGATGCACACAAAATTTGATAAGTGAAAACTGCATGATTGCACAACCTAAAAAATGCAAGGAAATATAATACATAAGATTCATCTGTTCCTATAAAATTCCATGTAAATTTGTTGCTAAGTGTTTTATAAATATCAAATTTATTCAAATAATCTAAACCATGATTTGTCAGTTACATAGTCTGATTTTCTTTATTCTATATTGTCTACATACTGTTAATTATATTTACAGCTGTTAGCCCTGCTGTGATATTTTGGTGTTCACTGTGTAATGTATTCATCTGACTGCTAATGTTGACATTTTAAAATGCGAATTTGCGGAGGAAAACATCCCCAACAAAGCAACCTACATTCATGTAAAGGTTATTTAATGTGGCATTACAACACGTTGAAGAGAATACTCAAAATCGGGTATTATCCGCGAAATCACGCATAGTACCCAATATCAGGGTATCATTGAATCTGCAAAATCCAGTATCCCATGCAACTTTAAGTAAAAACAGAAAAATAAAGCAATGGCACATTATGTCAATTAGCGTTACATATACATCAGTATCTTTGGGGTTAATTTTTATTGAACACAATTTATATGGTTGTCTGACAAGTTTAAATTAAATCACACAACAAACACTGCTGGGGTAGCAAATAAGACACGGTGGCATCATTAAATTTCAATACAATTTCTAACAAGAGGCCCATGGGCCACATCGCTCACCTGAGCACATTGGCTAAGCAAAAGCACAAATCGGTTCAGTATTAAAAATATTACCAGGGGTTGGATGGGGGAGGGGGGGGGGTGTTATTTTAAACTACCTGATGATGCTTCCATGTCAACATAACAAATGGCTTTGTTGTACTTGAGAAGATTTCACAAAATTTTCCCATATATTCCTTTGTAAAAATTTGATCCCCCATTGTGGCTCCTCCCTATCCCAGGCTTCATCATTTGAACAAACTTGAATCTACACTACCTGAGGATGCTTCCATATCAAAATGACTAATCATGGCTTTGCAGTTCTTCTTCAGAAGAAATTTTCCTATATATTTCTATTTAAGACTTTGATCCTCCATTGTGGCCCCACCCTACCCCTGGGGGTCATGATTTGAACAAAATAGAATCTACACTACCTGAGGATGCTTCCATATAAATATGACCAATCAGGGCTTTGCTGTTCCTGAGAAGAAGATTTTTAAAGATTTTTCCTTTATATTTCTAAGTAAAACTTTGATCCTCCATTGTGGCCCTGCCCTATCCCCGGGGGTCATGATTTGAACAAATTTGAATCTACACTACCTGAGGATGCTTCCACATGAGTTTCATCTTTCCTGGCCCTGTGGTTCTTGAGAAGAAGATTTTTAAAAGATGTTATTAATTTTTCACTAATTCTTTATTATCTCCCCTTGAAAGAGGGCGTGGCCCTTCATTTGAACAAACTTGAATCCTTCACCCAAGGATACTTTGTGGCAAGTTTGGTTGAAATTGGCCCAGTGGTTCTTGAGAAGAAGTTGAAAATGTTAAAAGTTTACAGACAGACAAACAGACGGACGCCGGACAAAAAGTGATCAGAAAAGCTCACTTGAGCCTTAGCCTCAGGTGAGCTAACAAGATACTTTGGAATGGATCTGATGTAGAAACTATAACCAGGTTATGTATACTGATATTCAGATGAGGTATCTATATATTAGCCTTACCCGTGGTGTATACCATCCCTTATATGCATTTTGGCATATAAGAAGAAACTAAAGAATGGACCAGCTCCTTAAACTCTGATATTGTCATGAGTCCAGAAAAAAAAAACCCATCATATACATGTATATATTTAACAAAACAAGAGGCCCATGGGCCACATCGCTCACCTGAGTAACTTTGGCCATGCTGTTCATTACCAGACTCCCCCCTTGTAATACCTATTGTGGCCCCACCCTCCCCCCAGGGTAGGGCTGTGTATTGAGCAAAATATTTCGATACAATACGATACGATATTTTATAAAACGATATGCGATATATTGGATTATTTATTAAGTCTATCAAAAATGTCTTATAAATGACATTTAATGCATAAATTTGATAAAAACTGGTGAGTCTAACATAACATGTTAAAATATAGTTGTCTATGTATTTTGTAATTGTTATTTAAGATGTGCTATCTCCTTAATGTTTATTTCATTATTGACCAGTTTTAATTCAAAACAGTTTAAAATAATCTTTGGTAACTGAAATTCCCAACTTTTTCACAGATTTATAAGAAAAACTGCCTGTCCGATACGTATTGGAAGTTATTTTTTTCGATACGATACATTCCTGAATATCGATACGTATTGAATATTCGATATATTGACACAGCCCTACCCCAGGGGCCATGATTTGAACAATTTAGAATCTACACTACCCCAGGATGCTTCCACATAAGTTTCAGCTTTTCTGGTCAAGTGGTTCTTGAGAAGATTTTTAAAGATTTTTCCTATATATTTCAATGTAAAACTTGGGATTCCCCCTATTGTGGCCCCGCCCTATCCCCTGGGTCATGATTTGAACAATTTAGAGTGTACACTACTTGAGGATGCTTCCACATAAGTTTCAGCTTTTCTGGCCCAGTGGTTCTTGAGAAGAAGATTTTTAAAGATTTTTCCTATATATTTCAATGTAAAACTTGGATTTCCTATTGTGGCCCCGCCCTACCCCCCGGGGGTCATGATTTAAACAATTTAGGAACTACACTACCCCAGGATGCTTCCACATAAGTTTCAGCTTTTCTGGCCCAGTGGTTCTTGAGAAGAAGTTTTTTAAAGATTTTTCCTATATATTTCAATGTAAAACTTGGATTTCCTATTGTGGCCCCGCCCTACCCCCGGGGGTCATGATTTTTACAATTTAGAATCTACACTACCCCAGGATGCTTCCACATAAGTTTCAGCTTTTCTGGTCAAGTGGTTCTTGAGAAGAAGATTTTTAAAGATTTTTCCTATATATTTCAATGTAAAACTTGGATTCCCTATTGTGGCCCCGCCCTACCCCCGGGGGTCATGATTTTTACAATTTAGAATCTACACTTCCCCAGGATGCTTCCACATAAGTTTCAGCTTTTCTGGTCCAGTGGTTCTTGAGAAGAAGATTTTTCCTATATATTTCAATGTAAAACTTGGATTCCCTATTGTGGCCCCGCCCTACCCCCGGGGGTTATGATTTTTACAATTTAGAATCTACACTACCCCAGGATGCTTCCATATAAGTTTCTGCTTTTCTGGCCCAGTGGTTCTTGAGAAGAAGATTTTTAAAGATTTTTCCTATATATTTCAATGTAAAACTTGGATTCCCTATTGAGGCCCCGCCCTACCCCCGGGGGTCATGATTTTTAAAATTTAGAATCTACACTATCCCAGGATGCTTCCACATAAGTTTCAGCTTTTCTGGCCCAGTGGTTCTTGAGAAGATTTTTAAAGATTTTTCCTATATATTTCAATGTAAAACATTGATTCCACATTGTGGCCCCGCCCTACCCCCGGGGGTCATGATTTGAACAATTTAGAATCTACACTACCCCAGGATGCTTCCATATAAGTTTCAGCTTTACTGGCCCTGTGGTTCTTGAGAAGAAGATTTTTTAATGACCCCACCCTATTTTTGTCTTCTCTTGATTATCTCCCCTTGTGAGGGGACTTGGCCCTTCATTTTAACAATTTAAATTCCCCTTCACCCAAGGATGCTTTGTACCAAGTTTGGTCAAAATTGGCCCAGTGGTTCTTGAGAAGAAGTCAAAAATGTGAAAAGTTTACAGACGGACGGACAGACAGACGGACG